AAACAGAGTTCCTACATACCCTGTATGTGGTTTTCCTTATAATTAATAATTAGCAGCTTACATTGGTATATTTGTCACGATTAGTGGACCAATATTAAAACATTATTATTAACATAGGTAAAGGCTTCATTCAGATATCCTTAGTTCTTCCTCAGTGTCCTTTCCTGTTTCATGATTTCCTGATCCTTTTCATCATCATCTCCTCGGGATCCTCTTGACTGTGACGGTTTCCTAGGCTTTTCTTTATGCTGACGTTGGTAGTTTAAGGAGTACTCATCAGGCACTGTGTCAAAAGTCACTCAGATGAGATCTATCTGGTATTTGTCTCATGACTAGATGGGGTTAAGGGTTTGGAAAGGTGAAGCCCACAAAGATGCCATTTTCATCACATCATACCAAGGGTACGTACCATTAACATGAGTTACCTGTTGATGGTAACTTTGATCACCTTGCTAAAGTGGGATTGGCAGAATTATCCAATGTAAATTATTTTTATTTCCTCCTTTCCATACTGTATTCTTGGAAGGGAAGTTATAGTCCACACTTAAGGAGTTAGGAGTTAACGATCTACCTCGTGAGGGTTGAGTATGTACGTAAGTTCTCTGGAATTCTTCCACACCACGGATTTGTCTACTCTTCCCTCCCTGTTTATTTCAATCGTTTGCTTATTTCAGTTTGGATTACCATCAAAAACTACTTGGTGTATTCTGTTGCTCTGCTTTGGCCACTAGGAGCCCTTGTAGATGGGTCCTTGTCCTTCAGCACAGCCCCACCATTGCGGGTTGTTGCTATCGCTCAAGCACGTCCCTGCTTTCTGAAGCTACGAGATGAGCATCTTGTAGCATTGTCTTATATGTTTTCTGGCCCAGTTGTGGCCCTTTCTCCAAGAAGCCCTGATTCCTTTTATTGGAGAACAGTATTAAAAAATAAGACCAGGATGGTAGTGTGCTCATTGCCTCTAGACCGTCTCAGCTGACAAGCAAAGAAATGTGCATGTTATATACACATTTAACATACACATGTTGGAAACACTCACATCTACAATTATTTCTATATAAACCACCCATAGGCATATCAAGTCTCCAATTCTAATCTATCACTGCATGGATCATTCCCATCTTTCCCTTGTTTGTTTGTTTGTTTGTTTATTTATTTATTTATTTATTTATTTTGAGAGATTTTTGCTATAGGGCACGACAGACAGAGAGAGACAGAGAGACAGAAAGCGAGAAATCACCCCCATGGGGGGATGACCACGCTGCAATCCCTTCTCCATTCTCCTCTTGGGATTTTGGGCATGCCCGCACATGCGCCTGGCGTGAGTTTTAAGCCACCGGGTCCGGGACGCGAACTGCGGTCGACTACGTGGGAATCCAGTGACATAGCCATTACGCTAACTGCTGGTTCCTTTAATGTTTTTACCATAGAGCGTCTGCACTTGCCAGAGAGACAGAGACAGAGACAGAGAGAGGGAAAGCGAGAAATCACCCCCCCCCCCCAGAGGATGACCACACCACAATACTTTCTCCACCATTCTCCTCCTGGGATTTCAGGCATGCACATATGAACACACATACCCCCAGCATGAGTTTGAAGTCACCAGGTGTGGGGATCAAACTGCAGTCAATCATGTGGGAGTACGGCACCTTAACCACCATGCCACCTGCTCACTGCCTTTGCTTATTTTTTAACCTCCTATCTCAACAGTGAGAACCTGGTCCGACCATCTACCATTCATTTATGTAACTGCTCAACTCCCACATGTACAGTGGGAGTAGAATCACCAACCTGTACCTCTCTGGAAACAACTCAATCAGCTGCCCAGTTCCTTTTGCCTTTAGTCTTACAGACTCCACTCATGTCTAAAGGTACTTAGGGCAACATATTTTTTTCCCATCCCCTTCAGTGAGATTGTTGGATCACATTTTGCACTCCATCCTGGGTTCCTCTGAGTTCCCAAATGATTATTTAATATAAATAAAATAATACAAGTCTTATTCTATTATTTTAAAAAATTTCTCCCTTCCGTAAGCAAAAGAAACAGACAAAGTATGACAGTAGTACTCCCAACAGGGTCTTGACACTGCAAACCACTCCCAGCCTCAACCAAGCCTAGATCATGGGCACACATACACCCAGCATAGTCAGGAAGGTCTTCAGACTTGAATCAGGACCTGTCCATGGGGTCTGCCTCACAGAACATTGTGCTTTACTGCTATGTCACTTACTGGCCCCTTACGTTTTATTCTTGATGGGGATAGGTAAAGGGAGAAGCTACTGAAAGAATTTGAAAGATATCATTTAGAGATGTTTAAAAGTTTCTATCTAATCTGCTTAAAAATAGAAATTGGCTCTAAGTTAATATAATTTATTTTACAGATATAATTGAAAATTTTGCACACAATAAGTGACATGGTAAAGATCAAAAGTAAGAAAAGTTGTTTCCTAAGAACAGCCCTGTAGCCTAGTGGTTAAGAACTGGATCCCACATAGCCAACCACAGTTCGAATCCTAGCCCCAAATCCTGATATGATGGAGAAATAGACAAGCAGGGTTTGTGGCATGGCCAAACCCCATGAGGGTGCTTTCTCTCAGTCTCTCTCTCACCCTGGAATGCACACATGCTCTCTGGCAATTAAAAACAAAGAAAAAAAGGAAGGAAAAGAAGAGGAAAAAAAGTTGTTCTCATTCACAATTGAGACAGATTTTTCTGGAAGCTTCCAGTCACTTTCTTCAATTTCTCTATGTGTAAAATGGAAATAAAAAGTTCCTCATCCAGGACTGAGAATTTACATAAGTATACCATTCTGCCATTCAAGAATAAATATGTAGCAACTATTTCATCGGATCATCAGAAAAGTCATGACACATTTTTGCACAGAAAAATATGTCATGACTTTTCCAGTGACCCAATAGTTCTAATAAATATGGGCTCTGTGTCCTGGAATAAATAAGCTCTACCTAATTATATTTTTTACACAATTGTGAAAGTTAATATTTTCACAATTTATATTCATGAAGTATTGTAATCCTGACAGTTACTATTCATTCATATCATTAAGCAATTATTTCTGTTCAGCAACCTAAGATCCTTAGTTATTTTAAAGCCCTTAAAGTATCCAAACAGTTAACAGGTACACTTAGATTTATTCTTAAGCATATGGGAGAGTTTAGAAAGATCACGTGGCCATTCATAAAATATCATCTTGATTGTAATAAAACTCCCTCCAAAAGCAGAAAAAAAGACAAGAGAACTTTCTAGGAGTCCTTTTTCAAAATAACATTTCTTACACTTGTAAGACAGAATAAATGACATTAGGATGCTAATATACCATCGCCACCTTCTGAGAATACAGTTTGAACTTGTGCTGTGATCACGCATTTACTGAATTATCAGAAAAAGAGGAATCAAGAATAAATTAACCAAGTCAACCTCTGAAAGAGCAAAATATGCCAAGGACTTTCTTTTTATTATTACAGAAACCAGCATTTATCTATAACTCATTCCAACTCAAAATTTTTGCATGTAATTTAATTCACAAGTCTTTGTAGTGAGCACTTAAGAGAAAGTCGTGTTTGACAGCATTAACATCTCTTGCAAATATTGTCAACAGTTTCTTCTTCACCATTATTCTAGTACAAAAATGAAACTGTATAAAAACTACAATTTCCTAGTTAAATATTCAGAGACAGTATATTGTTGGATCTTATTGAAAAACCCACCTTTAATCATCTCAAAAAGATGTTAAGATTCAATAAGAACACCTGCTTCTCTCCCTCAGTCTCCAAAGAACATCGAGCAAGTTATTCTATAAATAAATCACCATACTTTTGTACTGATGCAAGTTTGTACCAACCCCGCAATTTCCCAGAGGCTGCCTTAGACTCTAGCAGAAAAAAAGACAGGAAGTGAACTCACTCTGAGCAGGGCCAGAGACCGGAGCGGGAGGTAAGATTAGAGGCAAGGAATGAGATCATTAGAGCTCAAAGTCTAAGTGATGCTTTGAAAATAAAAAACAAATGAAACTTCAGAAGGTTTTTAGATGGGTGGGTTGAGCAAGAGTTGCAGCAATGGCTGAAAACCACTGCATCGATGAGGAGAGTCCAATACTTATTAAAGGCAGCTCTCAAACCCAGCTAACAGAGACCTACAATAATTACTGTTCTGATGTGTAGTACATTAGCACAAAAGAACAGATAAAGTCGCTGAGGAATCAGAAAGTTTGATTTGAAAATTCACAAATTAGAAAAAACCTGCACTGTTGGAGGTGGGGTAATAAATAAATGACAAACAGCTGCCGAAATGTATCCCCCTGGGACATGATGCCTCATCAATCCCTTTTGCCTGCACTGAAAACCAGGGTATTCCTGATACCTGTACCAAGAATCACAGCCAAATCAGCCAGGGTGCAGTCTCCGCAGTAGGGACCAACACACTCTTCAGACACAGGTCTTTCACGTGCTTTGGAGGTTCATGCTGTATGACAACTGACAAAGCCAAGAGACGGGCACAGTAAGAAAGTCACAGAGCTGGCTCTATAGGAAAGCTCTTGGCCAGGCCTTACACCAACCCAACCTTGCAGCAGTCTCCTCTTCCAGGGGGAGGATGAGGGAACTCTGAGAAAGTATTAGCACAGAGACATCTCACTCCAACTACAGCACTGGGCAAGCCTCCCACCTACAGCACTGCAAGTCACTAGCAGAGATCTCCACAGACAGCCAGGCTCAAGAGTTCATCACTAAGCTTGCCTTTTAAGCTCCTAACTCAGAAATGCAGGGATTTAAAGTAATCTTTTCATCCTGACTTTAGAGAGGTAATCCTATTAAGCGTTTGGCATGCCTGCGAATTTACCTGCTTCAATGTGGGTCTAGGGAGTGGGAACTACCTGAGTAGCAGCCATAGAATAAACAGCATTTCTGCAGAGCTGGTCACGTCTGTGAACATCCCTGCAGTTATGAGAAGAGCGGACGTGGGGCCACAGAACACTCCCGAAACCTACCTGCCACTCTGGTCTGAGGTCCACGTAACTGATCGCCCCTCGGGTTTGGTTTTGTACCGTATCCTGATGGCATGAGGAAAGTCAGTAGGTGTCTGACAGCCTGTCTTCCTGATCTGTAAGCTCCAAGTGTCAGTGTCAAAGAAGAGCTCCCCACAGCCAGGAGCCTGGCTGCAGCGAGCGTAATAGTCTAACTGCTCCCTCCAACGATCTGCAGGCAGAGTCGCAAGTTCATGTACAATCTGATTCCTGAGTTGCTCAGAAACGACAGTGAGCTTGGGAGGCCTTGTAAATTGTTCAATACCTGGCACTGCAGCAACATCCACCTCCTCAACCTCTAACACGGATAAATCACAGCAGTCCAACACTAGCAAAAAATCCTCACTCCCATGATTCCCGGTGTCACAGCAGTACTTTGAGCTAGAAGTCCCAGAAGCCTGTTCCTGGTTGTCATGGTTACCATCTTCATCAGAAGTATCTTTTTCACCTTTACTACAGATTACAAAATCATTACATCCCATTTCAGATGAGAAGGTCCTTGTGCTTGTCACAGGGATATGACAGGATCCAGGCGTCCTAAACTTGCAGGCTTCGTTTGACTCCAATTGCTGGGTTTCTTTGGTGGAACTATTCTGTGTCCTGAATCTGTTTCCATCCTCAAAGAAAAGCACGATGGTGCCCTCAATGACTTGACTTTCAAAATCCACATCTACATCCAGTACATAGTGCTTCACAAGTATGTGGCTGGTATTGGCCATGAGAGGCAGATCATCTCTGGAAGGGTCCAGTTTTACATCCATGGTATCTTCTGTATCTTACTTGGGATGGGGCTTCCTGTCTGCCTCAATCTTCCAAAATCAAGAACAGCTGCTTATCAAAAAAGCCACTGATGTCACAAATTATAGTTCCACAACTTTCGATCCCCTGACAAAGAAGAAAAACACAGTTAGACACCATTCCAAATAAGACCCTAAATGTTCCTGTAACTGCTGCTCCTGCAAGTTGGCTACCATCCTTAAATAATCCCCCATTGTAGTGTATGCTCATGGCTAGAAGGCAGACTGAACTTTCTGACTGACATGAACGAAAGCTGCATTACGGGTTTCTAAAAATATTTCAATTACCAACAGAACGAAATGGGCCTCCACAAAGCCAGAATGGAGCTTCTAACTAGAACAGTCTTTATTTGGGAAAAAGAGCAATTGTTATGCAAAAGTGTAACTGAGTATCACTGTGCCTCTTGTTTTAAGAGATATTAAATGTATCATTTCTAATTTTGTGCATCAAAAGATAAGTAATTGTTTTTCTACTGTGATTCTAAGTAACAAGTATGAATGAAGGCTAAATGGCCTCATACATTTTATTCTTTGAGAGTAATAATTTAATACATACAATGTAACTCTAGGGATTAATGTACTTTTCACATTAGGACTGCTCTCATATCAGCACTTCCAGTAAATTACAGGAAAATGAGCCAATTTACCAGGACTGCATTCTAAGTATTCCTTTGAGATTGTTCATGGAGATTTTTCAAATTTATAGTTAAATACTCAAGGTATATCATTACATCTTAATAGCTGAAAACCCATTAACATTCTGGGTAATAGCTTTCTTGTGGCAAACAAAAGGTCTTCTCATTTGGAAAAAAAAGCATGCAAATACCTATAAAAAGGAAAGAGAGAAATTAAAATGTAGAAACAGATGTTGCAATAAAATGCACAAGTTCTTCATAAAAGTTCTGAATCAAAATATATTCTTATTGTAATAGCAATCTGACTAAAGAAAAATTATTTGAAATTATTTCAGTCCCTGTTGTGTACCTAATTTCTTTCAGTACATGCTATTCTCTTTTTATTCTTTTAACAAAAATGAAAAAGAAATAGCAGGAGAAAAGAAATAAAAACTCTGACAGAGTAGATATATTTAAAATAATTTCTGTATTTCTCAACATCGGGAGGCATTTTTGTATCAACCATAAAGCAGCATTACTTGACTTTTCAAGTAAATCGAGCCCTCCCTTTCCATTCTGGGTGGTTCCTCCTCACCTCCCTTCTGACTTTCTCTGCCTCTTTACTTGGCCGTTCTCTTTCCATTCCTTCTAGAATCTCATGCCAGCAATGAACCCTATTGAATTTTCGGTTTCTAGCTCTCCAGAGGCTACTTCCTCATCATAATTTCATCTAAACATTAAAAAGTCCGGCCTCCTGCAGCCTTGTATGATCTGGTTCTGAGCTATTTTTCTAGTCTTGCAGATGACGCTCCCTTTACACTGCAAGCCTTGTCCTCTAGCCAAAGGGCCTGCTCCCAATGCTAGGCCTGAAGATGGCCTCACTCCAGACCCCTCTGCCTTTTGGACAAAGCCCTGTGCTAAACCTGGTGTGCTCCTGGCTCCCACCTGCCAAATCCACCTGCCAAATCCACCTGCCAAATCCTATTCTTCGTTCACATGCAACCAGCTCCCCTAATTCTTCCCTGGTTCTTACTCACTCTCCCACCTCACTGATATGGCCATGACTTTAAGTGCAATAGAAGCAGAGAGAACTCTGGGATGCAAGACTAGTCTGGGATTGCCTTATGGAGAAACTGGTACTTCCTTTGGTCCGAGAGAAGTCAATGGACAGATAAACTGGGATATTTTCTTTTCTGCTTGAAAGTCACTGAACGTGTCAATTAATGAGTATTATAGTCTTTGATAAAGTCTGTGGTTATATCTATCTCATGAGAACAATAATGTTAAAACTTCATCCTGCAGCAGTCTAGGGCTGCTAATATGCAGTGTTTTCTTAATTAATTTTTTAAGAGATTATTTTTTTTTGCTAGAGGACATGTGTGATTGCTGGAGAGAAACAGAAAAAGAGAGAAATCACCCCCTAGGAGCATGGCTATACCGCAATCCCTTCTCCTCCGTTCTCCTCACAGGATTTTGAGCGTGCATGCACACACGCGCAGTGTGTTTTAAGTCGCCAGGTCCGGGACTAGAACCCTGGTCAACTACATGGGAGTCCAGCAACATAAGCATTATGCCATCTGCTGGTCCCTAATTTTTTTAAAGGAAAATTTTTTGTTATAAAGTGCATGAGCTCGCTGGAGAGACAGAAAGTGAGAAATCATCCCCTCCTCACTCAGGGAGGCTGGCCAAACCATAATCCCTTCTCCTCCATCCTCCTCAGGATTTGGGGGCATGCACAAACACATGCCAGGCATGAGTTTCGAGCTGCCAGGTCTGGGACTTGAACTGTGGTTGGCCATGTGGGAGTCCAGCTACACAACCATTATGCTAACAGCTGGTCCCTGATTAAATTTTTCCATAAAGAAACTCTGGGCTGGCCCCATAGCACAGTTAAGTGCTACGCACGGTGAGCCAGATCCCACATTGCTAACCGTTGTTGGAATCCTGGTCACGGGGGCTTAAAAAAACACACCAGCTCCAAGTTTGTGCATACCTCCATCCTGACAAGACTGGGAGATAAAGAATGATGAAGTGATCACACACCACAAGAGCGTGCTTTCCTTCTCTTCCTCTTTCTCTCTCTCACTCTCTCTATCCAGCATATCCTCTGAGAAAGGAGAAAACAAAACAAAACACCCTGAACACCCACAGAAAACTTGAATCAAATGACACAGAGTTAATTTAGTGGCTGTCTAAACCATTGATACTTGCTGAAAAACAGGTATTTATAACATAGATATAACCATTCATTGTTCAACCTTAATAGAGTCCTTCATTTACTTCTGGTAATTTACATAATTTAGGAATAAAATATATTCTATGGAGTATTTTTCACTACTTTTGTCCTGTTGGCAGAAAATGAGGCTGCCTTAGAGCCCTATCCATTCAAGCTTGTTGTTAAAACCAATGAGGGCCCAGCGGGTGACATAGTGCTTACAGTGCTGGACTCAGATGGCAACTGCGGTTCAAGTCCTGGACTCGGTGGCTTGAAACTCACGCAGGGCACATGTGTGTCCGTGCGTGCCCAAAATCCCGAGAGGAAATGAAGGAGAAGGGATTGTGGCATGGCCATCCCCTCAGGGAGTGATTTCTCACTTTCTCTGTCTCTCTGTCTCTGGCGAGCACATATGACCTACAGCAAAAATATCTCTTTAAAAAAAATTAAAAGAAGAAAAGCAGCTTTTTTCCACCTGTAGTACTTGAGGGCCTGCAGGTCATCCATGGCCACGGGTCTCTGTTCCACAGGATGGGATTTGTTAAAGTCGTCAAGAATCAGGCCTACTTTAAGAGATACCAGGTGAAATGTAGAAGACGACGAGAGGGTGAAACTAATTACTATGCTCGGAAATGCTTGGTGATCCAGGATAAAAACAAATACAACACACCCAAATACAGGCTGACAGCTCATGTAACTAACAGGTATCATTTGTCAGGTGGCTTATGCCCGTATAGAAGGGGATATGATAGTCTGCACAGTTTATGCACATGAACCACCAGAACACGGTGTGAAGGCTGGGCTGACCAATGATGCTGCAGCGTACTGTACAGGCCTGCTGCTGGGCCCCCGGCGGCTCAGTAGGTTCGGCATAGACAAGGTCTATGAAGGTCAAGTGGAAGTGACCGGAGATGAGCACAATGTAGAAAGCATCGATGGTCACCCTGGTGCCTTCACCCGCTATTTGGATGCAGGCCTTGCCAGAACTACCATTGGCGATCAAGTTTCTGAGGCCCTGAAGGGAGCGGTGGATGGAGGCTTATCTATCCCTCACAGTACCAAACGATTCCCTGGTTATGACTCTGAAAGCAAGGAATCTAATGCAGAAGTCCATCGGAAGCACATCATGGGCCAGAACGTTGCAGACTACATGCGTTACCTAATGGAAGATGACGCCGACAAGAACAGGTCTCTCAGTACATAAAGAACAGTGTAACTCCAGACATGATGGAGGAGATGTAGAAGAAAGCTCACACTGCCATACGAGAGAACCCAGTCTATGAAAAGAAACCCAAGGAAGAAGTTAAAAAGAAGAGGTAGAATTGTCCCAAGATGTCCCTTGCCCAGAAGAAAGATCAGGTAGCCCAGAAGAAGGCAAGCTTCCTCAGAGCTCAGGAGTGGGCTGCTGAGAGCTAAACCAAACAATAGTATGACGTTATTCCAGATAAAGACAATAAACTTAACAATAAAGCAGCAAAAATGCAAAACAAAACAAACAAACAAATCAAAAATGAAAAAAAAGGTTAGTCAGTCGAACTACTATGGCACAGGGTAACACAGTGTCCTTGCAAGACTGGAAGCAATATGGCCAACTGTGAGTTCAGCATCCCTGGGTTGGCCTAAAAATACACGGGGCACATGCACAGTGGCCAGGAGCTTGAGGAGCTGGGAAAACACGTGAACAATCATTAAACAACAACAAAACGATGGTTAGCTTTCCAGTGGCTACCCACTGCTACCTCCATAATCGAAGTGCTATGTGGCATGTTTTTGTTTTTGAGAGGTTTTTGCCATAGAGCGTGTGCACTCTCCAAAAAGACAGAGAGAGAAAGAAAGCAAGAAATCCCGCCCCGGGGGGGATGGCCATGCCACAATCTCTTCTCCTCCATTCTCCTCTCAGGATTTTGGGCACGCATGCACACGCGCCCGGCGTGAGTTTAAGCCACCAGGTCCAGGACTTGAACCACAGTTGACTACATGGGAGTCCAGCGACATAGCCATTATGCTATCTGCTGGTCTCTGTGGTGTGTATTTTCAAAGCTTAAATGTTTATCACCCTGACTTAGGCAACTCTTCCGTTGAATTCTTTAATATATTCTCCACAGAGGTAATTTTAAAACTTTCCTTCTTTTAACTTTCCAGTTCCATGATGACTTATTCTCAAATGAGTATTTGACCCCGTTCTCTGAGAGATTCTGGAGCTCCGCATTTCAGTCCTATATCAAAGTATCCTTTGCTTTTTCTAACTATGGCCTCCGCCTGATTCAGAGTGAACAATATCCCTTCTTACCAAATCTAACTCTATTCATCTAAATCATAACTTTTGGGGTCTTGAGAGGGTCAAATCAATAGCACTCTTCTTTCCCATTCAAATTCTGAACACGCTGTGAAAGAAGATGAAGATATGGCAGAGAGACCAAATTATCACCACTCCCAATGAGAGCTAAAATGGAGAACATGGTTTACAGTGGGTGCCGAATGTGCCTGGAAATCAAACCCCCAAGTCGAATGAACTGTAACCATCACAGGCACTGCTGGATCAGGTCAAGAACCCAGAAAACGAGGTGGCCTCTCCAGGTAAGACTCACAGTCTAGAATAGAGAACAGTTCTACAGGGTAAGGGTTGCTGCCCTAAGGCCATAGGGAGATGAGGATCAGCGCAGGCCCAGCTGCTTCTTCCCAAGTTCATCACACTAAGTCCCCTCATCTCCCTTAGAGTAGAGTAAAGGCCGGGACAGGAGTGTTGCACTAACTGAGTTCTACCCACAAGGAAGAAACACTGGAATGAGAAACATTCCCCGCAACACCATTGCCCTCCACTTAACCCGGAACCATGTTTCAGTTTTTGTTACCAACATTCTCTTCCTCTCAAAGATACCACTTTATTTCCAAAATTCAAACACTCCTAGGGTTGCCATCTTTGAAAACAGAAGCTACATTTGGCCTTGTTGC